CAAGGCTGACCTCTGGTTATTGAAAAGAGCTGAAAAAGAAAGACAACTTTCTCTGCTTCCTCGGATGTGGTGCCTAATTGCTAGGCTTGGCCGGCACGGTCCGCACCACGCTCCCGGCTCAGCCCCGCAGGCGTCAGGGACCTGCCAGCATGGGTGGCAGCGAGCACCCGGGCTGGCATGCTCCTGGGGTAGAGAGCCACTGTGGCCCAGGGCACCTTTCCACTAAGTCCCAAGTGCCCTTCACTTGTTAGATGGAGCTAGAAGCGAAGAAAAAGAACAAATGAGCAGAAAACAGCTGAGCCGGTCATTCCTGGGGTTAAGGCTAGCCATGATCACCCGTTCTCCACCCGCCGCCCCGACTCAGGTGGGAAAGAGTCCAATCCCCAGCTGGGGACACGGGGGACATGTCACCCTCGCACGGGCACGTGGCTGCTGCCGGGATGCTCCCAACACAGATGCCGTATCGCGTCTACCGGCGCCCAGCAGCCCCCGGCTGGCTTGCTCGGTGCTTGCCAGCTCTCCCTGACCCACTGAACTATTTGTCCATGAGGAAACCGGGTGCTGAGCTGGGCACTGGAAAAAGGGAGGCTCCGGCAAAACACAGAGCGTTTCCCAGCAGATTATTTCAGCCTCCCGGCAGGGCTCACAAGCAGCTCCGGTCCTGAGTCCTTTGCTCTCCAGGAAGCGCCTTTCTTCTGGAAGCCTTTGTTCCAGCAAGGCTGCAGCAGCCCCAGGGGAGCCCAAGGGACCCGTCGGGGCAGGGGCACCTCTTGGGGTGCCAAGGGAGCTGCCAGCCTGGGCAGCCCTGCACGGTTCCCCCCACATTGCATGAGGAATGTCCCTGCTCCCCTCGGCCACCCCTGGTAAAGGGCATCTCCTTCGGGATGAAGAAGAAGGCGCGGGTGTAGGTCACATCCATCCTGCCTGGCTGCACCGCTCCGCGTCCCTGTGCGGTGTGGCCTAAAGATAATTATCAGCTGTAATTAATAAGAAATCTCTTCCTGTGAAATATCTCATTCATCCAATCGGACACACCACGGCACCAGCCCCACACCGGTAATTGCATGGTGATTAATTCATTAGCGGCATGAACGTATCTAGAAGCGAGGCTGGTCCGTGTGAGAGAGTGAAGAAGGTGCTGGCCACCGCAGGAGGGTGCAGTGCCCGCACCCAGGCCCAGGGACAGATCCTGCTCCTGCCCCTGCCCCACTGCCTGCTCCCCTTTGTGCCTTGCACCTTCTGCAAAATGAGAATAAAAAACAATTTTCCCATCACAGTTCGGGGCTTTGCTGCTGCTGTGCCGCGGGGGCCCTGCCAGCATCCACCTGCCACCTCTGTAACCTGGATGCAAATTTTGGGGGTAAATCTCTCGGATTTGGTTGCACAGCCCCTAGCCCAGCCTGGGGCTCCTGCACCCACTCGCAGCCATCAGCAGCAGAAATATCTATCGGGCTTTTGCCTTCTTGCCATCCCTCCTGCCTCACAAGCCCCCAAATCCCCGAGACCCCTTGGGATGGACCAGGTGGTGCCGCATCTATTTTTAGGCTGGTGGGAGCTCAGCATCAGACCAGGCTGGGAGGAATAACCAGGAGCCAGAGGCACGGGCTGGGGGCGGGGAGGGAAAATGCCTTTGTGCTGGGGAGCGGAGGCTGCCGTCCCCGCCACGCTTCCTTTGCTAGGTGTGGTGCTGGGCTCCATGGGATGCTAGGAAGGGAAACCGGGGGCCAGGGTGGGGGGGCGGCGAGCTGACAGCCCAATAAAACTGGGGGGAAAAAAAAAAGAAAAAAAAAAAAAAAAGAAAAAAATAATAATAGACAACTCCTGAGGTGGTGTGCTGGGCCGGAGTCCAGCTCGCCCAATGCCAGGCCTGGCAAGGAGGGCACAGGGAGAGGTGACCCAGCTGGCGTGCATGCCGATCTTATCTCTGCCCAGGGATGTCCAGCGCTTTCTCCCTGCGTGCCGATGCAGATACGGCCGGTGAGGAGCCGGGGCCGGTAGGTCACCAGCACCTGGTGCCATGTACCCACGTACCCACATCCCCGGGGCAGCGGGGCAAAAGGAGGGGGATTTATGCATCCGTCCCGTCCCCCGCCCCCGGAAAGCTGAGCTGGGCACAGACCCCGCACGCTTCACCCCACACCCTGGCTGGGTGAGGGTGATTTTGCTGTCTGGAGTGGGTGCCAGCTGTGGGGAGGGGGAGCGAAGCAGTGTGGCATTGCCCACACAGGCAGGCAGCGTGGCCCCTCCACGCCCCTCCCGGGCCAGTCCAGGCATTTTTTGGGTGCTTTGCACCCAGGCATTTTTGCACCCGGGCATTTTTAGGTGCTTTGCACTCTGCTCCATCCCCCCTCGCAGCTCTCCTTCCCTTCTCTCCCTGCTTCGAAGCTCTCATCCCTCCTCCTCCAGCAACCGTGTCCTTCTTTTTGTCCTCCACCACCCTCCCTGGCTCTTCCCCCCATCCCCGCACCGGGATGCAGCATCAGCAGCAAATACGCTGCGAGGCAGGGTTTGCACCGTACACATGCTCTGGGGTCAAAGTGCCCGGCTTTGCTCCATGGGCAGAGGAGGTCCCAAACGACCTCAGTGCAACAGGGACAGCAGCACGGCTCTGATCCCCCACCCCACGCCTCCCCAGCGTAAGGAAAGCATCGCAAGCCCACTGCCATCCCATGCAGAGGAGGCCCACGCTTGGAGATGTTGCCCAGAGCAAGCGTGGCAGTCACGAGGCTCTGTGTCTGCCTCCCCCCCCCCAGGAGGGTTTGCCGTGGCTCTTAGCACCGTTTCCAGAGCTGGGAAAAAACTAAGCTGCCCCCTCTCCCGCCCCGCTGCAGCTCATCCCCACCACATCCCAAATGCCAGCCGGTGGCACCAGGTCCAGCCGTGGTCCTGAGCCCGCCAGGAGGCCAAGGATGCTGCTGGGGCCATGTGGGAGGCGCAGGGTAGATGCAAGCGGGGAAAGCGCCGTGTGCTCGGCCAAAGCCCGGGAGAAGGGCCAGGATCGGCGGCGGAGGATGTTCCTGGGATGTCCCCAGCAGCTGCCCAGACCGGCTGCTCCGAAGGCTGCTCGCTTCACCCCACAAGCAGCCACAGGACATGGGCTGGGGGCCCCCAGCTCCCCCCCAGCACCCACCTTGCTGCTCCTGGGGCTAGGGCAAAAAGCCAAAGCCTCCGGCGGCTCGGGGGCTCAGCTCCGGGCGGCGGCACACGGCTGGTCCTCCGGCATGGCGATGCTCCAGCACCTTCCTCAGTTGTACGGCCAGGGCAGGATGGGGGAGAGCAGAGAGGAGGCTCCTTGCAGCCGTACAGGCTCTCCCGTGGACTGGTGCTGATTTGCTCTTGCAAAATATTAATAAGAGGCTCCAGGAACGTGAAGGAAATCTAGCCCGAAACCTCTGTCGCTCCTGGCTAGTGATTGAAGAATAAATGAGACAAGATTTTTTTAATTTTTTTTTTTTTTAAGGCCTTTGTTTTGTTTAGGGTTAACAGCAGATCGGCTTTTTCAAATGACTTCCAGACACAGAGAAACCATGGCATGCAATACCCCACCGCTGTGAGGAGGCTGGGAGCTGGGCTCTTGCGCAACCCAGTGCCCCAAGTCTTCCTAACGCTGAGGTTCAGATTTCAGGCTGGGGTCCTGGGCATGTCTGCAGCTGGAGGGGGCTTGGAGGCAGATACCCAGAGCTGGGGCATCTTTCACACGTCAACCCGATCGCCTGGGGGGTGTCGGGGAGCAGGGACAGTGTGCAAGCAGATCTTGCTTGCAAACGGGTCCCGCAGAGTTCCAAACTCCTCCGTGCGAAGGGCAGGAAGGACTTTCAGACCACCTAGCCTGGCCCTTGGCGCTGCAAATCTCTGCTGGACGGTGGCCAAGCGAGCAGAGCAGTGACCTGGTGGCGGGGGACACGCTGCATCTCCGCGGCCGCCGACGGCAGCGTGCCGTGGGTGTGCTGCCGTGCCCACGGCGCGTGCGGCAACGGTACGGCCGTGCCAGCCCCAGCAGCGCAGCTCGGGAGGCAGGTTTTAGCCGCGACTAGCCGGCTGCCAGTGAACCCCCCATTCCTCAACAGTCCCTACGCCGAAAGGCTGGAAACACATTTCTTTTCGTGTGAATGGTGCTTAAAAGCAAGGAGCCATTTCTCGCCCCGGCACTGAAATTCCAACCAGAAAATTGCTGGGTAAAGAGGGCTTGCCCCTGCCTTCACCTCAGGGCTGCTCCCGACCCCAGATGGGGAACGCTGGCCAAAACACACACACGAAATAAGTCATAAGAAAAATAAAGGCAAAGCCCCAAGCATCCCTGTCCGCCTGCAAACAGGCAGCCTGGCAGGCAAATCTAAACACTTCCCTGCCTCGGCTCGAGGGGCTGCGGGGGGGGGCACAGGCAGATCGCAAGTAGCCAGGAAAGGGGCTTGCAAAGAAAAAAAAAAAAAGAAGAAGGAAAGAAAGGAAAAGAAGGCAGCGAAAAAATTAACAACCCTCCTCCTTGGAAGGAAGGGAACTGGGCAGCAGCGTCCACACCGGTCCCAGCCCGGCCCTCCCCGGGTGGCTCTTCCTGCTGGTGCCTGGGGACGCCCCCCTTCCTCCTCTTCCTCCCCCTCATCTCCTCCTTCTCCTCCTCCCCCGCATCATCTCCTCCTCCTCCTCCTCCTCCTCCTCCTCCTCTCGTCCTCCTCCTCCTCCTCCTCCCCTGCGCCCCGCTGATTGGTCCAGCCCGGCTATATTTTGCCCCTTCCAGCCCAGCATCATCCCAAAAGTTTTTTTTGGGGGGAAAGGGGGGAAAAAAAAAAAATAAAAGAGGAAAAAAAAAATAAAAGAGGAAAAAAAAAAAAAAAAAAGGAAAGCAACCAAAACAAAGCGAGCCGACCCCAAATCCCCCCGAAGCGGAGGCGAGCGGCGGGGCTGCTGCTCGGCGGCTGCTGGACGCGGCGGTGGGACGCGGCGGGACCCGGTTCTCTCTCCGGCACCCGGTCGGGTCGGACACAAAGTGCTGTCCAGCTGGAATGAATATATCTGAGTCTAACTACTGCCGAGAGGAGATATCGCAACCCCGGGGCGACTGTTCATGGGTCACCGCCGCCGTGCCGGCCGCTGAGCCCGGGCTCGCCTTCCCTCGCCCCCCGGGAGCCGCCTCCCCCTCCAG